TAATTTAGTCAATTGATTTTGTAATTTTTTAATAAATTTCATGAAATTTGAATTTTTTGTTGCAATAATTTTTTGGTTGAATTTTTTGTTGCAATATTAATTTTTTATCGAATTTTTTTCTGTAACAATTTTTTTGCTAAATTTTTTGTCACAGTAATTTTTTTGCCAAATTTTTGCTGCCATATCCATTTTTTTGTTGAATTTTTTATCACAATATCAATTTTTTTACTGAATTTTTTATTGTAATATGTAAAAAAATTTTTTATTGTAGTATGCAAAAAATTTTTTTATTATAATATTGTTAGATTTTGTGTCAAAAATTTTTTTTTACATATATCAATATTTTTTTGTTGATTTTTTACTGAATTTTTAATATCAAGTAGTAGCAATCATAAATAATTTTTTTATCAAATTCAGCAATAATTTGACAGTTGAATAACATAATTTTAACTAGTGTTTTTATAGTTGTTTGAGAAATTTTATTTATTTCAATTTGTTTTTAAATTTAAGTGATATAATTTTTATTAAAAATAATTGATTAATATAAAATATATTAAACTTAAAAATATAAAAAAACATTTATTAATTATAACTATATATTTTAATAACATTATTAATAAAAAAAAAAGTTAGTTAATATCTGTTTTACTCTATTTCTTTGATTAATTAATTTATATCATAAATTTTATAAAGTCAATAATATTAGAATAATAAGTTTCTAGATGATAAAAAAACAGTGTTTATTTAATTTATGATCTTTATACTTTTATTTTTTCAATTAAACAAAGTTTTGATAAAAATTTTTAGTTAAACCTTATAATAATAAATCCTTTAAATTATAATGTAAAAGTTTTCAAAAAGTAAAAGTCTAACAGATAATATGATTAGAAGATTAAAATAAAATAGTTAAGTTTTTCAGATAATCAGAAAAAGAAAGAATATTACAATAGGATATTTCTTATTAAAAATATATCTTGAAAAGTGAATTTTAGAGAAAGTTAAATAAAATTTATCATTTATATATTTTTAGATATATTCCTTTTCTTTTTTTTAATTCAAATTCCTTTTGTAGTTTTTTGTATTTTAATAACTTGGTAGGATAGTGTAATTTTTGCCGATCTTCTTACAGCACTTCGAAAGCAACAACACTGGAAGAATGAATTATTTATTATATGGAAGGAGAACAATTGGTTTTATAAATTATTATTATGGTCAAACTTAAGTTTGTTGATAGACAATTTAATTTAACTTAAATGCGAAAGATCTTAAGTTATATCTAGGATTAATTTATTCGACCAGATGACGGGTAAAAAAAAAAAAAATTATTTATAGAAATCTTATAAATAAATTATATTACAAAATCGAATTCCTATATAATCGTTCATGTGACGCAAACTTGTGTTTAACTGGTTCGGGCAAAAAACAGGAGGCAGAAGCTCTTCCTTTAGTAAATCAAATAAGCAAGTGTTCTTTTTTTGTATATAATTATAATTCAGAAGATCATTTCTAACTTTAACTTTGTCCGCCCAAACGTAATAATAATTGATTATCACATGGCTTTAGTCTAACTGAAGGTAACCAACATAATTAATTCTCTTTCACATCTTACCATTACAAATGAACAACAAAATTCTATGAGCAAAATGAAAGCATACCATAGTGCTTCGGACTTATTAGTCAATAGCTCTAGTGATTTAGAAGATAACGTAACATTAGATCCAGATAATATGCTAGCGGAGTTGTCTTATCCTGCTAACACAGGCTCCACCCGCATGTCAACTCTTATAACTAGTCCTGCACCTTCTTACATTGCACACCTTCCCTCCAAGTTAAAGTCCTTTTTTAGAATAAACGGTTCTAATAATAAGAAAGAATCTTCGATCGGTTCGGTGGGTAGACGTGGAAATAGTAATGGAGAGATAGGCTCATCTTCCTCTTTGGCATCTGCAACTTCAAATGATAGTGAAAAGAATGTCTCTGGCTGCACCCAAAGTGGGATATTGAAACATAAGACAATTGGACCCTGGTTTTTGAAAGATCAAAGTAATAATCAGAAATTGCGGCGAGTAGCTTCGGCGCCCAATACAAAAGCTTTGAACGATAAATTGGATGGTTCACAAAAAATATACAAAGAGAATTATTATGGATCTAACAACAATGTGACATTGTCTGTTCCGAATGGACCTTTGTCAAAAATGAAGCGTTCAGAGGCTTTTAAGCGGACCTATTCTTCAAATTCAATCAAGGTCAAGAGTGTTGAGGTGGGACCGGATAGTTTTCAGAAAATTAAGTTATTAGGAAAAGGTGACGTAGGTAAAGTTTACCTGGTAAAGGAGAAAAAAACCAGTAAACTTTACGCTATGAAGGGTAAGTTATATTTATTATTTAATGAAGAATTATTTCAGTCAATTATTTATGTGGTATATATTCTTTTCACATAAGTTTTATCGAAAAAGGAAATGATTAAGCGAAATAAGATTAAACGTGCACTTGCCGAACAGGTGAGATTGAGTCATGTTTAAAGTTCGAATTCGGTTTAATGATAAGTTATGTTATGTGCATAGGAAATATTGGCAACGTCAAACCACCCCTTTATTGTCACATTATATCATTCCTTCCAAAGTGAGGATTATTTATATCTATGTATGGAATACTGCATGGGAGGGGAATTCTTTCGTGGTTAGTACAGATTCTGTATGTTGGCAATGAGATTTTTGTTTGCGCTCTAATTTTGTAATTTTGTTTCAACTCAGCTTTGCAAACTCGACCTGGAAAAAGTCTTCTGGAAGAAGATGCAAAATTTTATGCTGCCGAAGTCATTGCTGCGTTAGAATATTTACATTTGATGGGCTTTATTTATCGAGATCTGAAGCCTGAAAGTATGTTTAATATTATGAGTTTTTGACATTCTCGAAAGAACAATTTATTAATGATTAATTTTATTAGATATACTGTTGCATCAGTCTGGTCATATCATGTTGTCAGGTAATTTTAAATACCATATAGCATATATATATATATATATTATATTTTTGACGAGAAATATCATCAATTCGTTTTTCAGACTTCGACCTTTCAAAACAATCTCATCCTGCTAACATGCCGGGAATTGTCAAAACCAGTTCTAGCAATGTGGTAAGTAAAGGAATTATTTAATGGAGATTCGTTTGAAATGGAATAATATTTGGTTCTCATATCCAAAATATATATATATATATATATTATATTATATTATATAGCCTCCATCAATAGATACTAAATCTTGTATAGCAAATCTCAGAACGAATTCTTTCGTTGGCACAGAAGGTATGCACAAAATCGCTTATGCTTAAAATACATATAATTAACTTGGTATGCTCACTTTACTGTTTCTTTTCAGAGTATATTGCTCCTGAAGGTATTCATATAGCTATGCAACTCTAGAATTTTATCATTGTTTTATAAAACAATTACATATCATTTTCTCATTAGTGATTAAGGGTTGTGGACATACGAGTGCAGTTGATTGGTGGACACTTGGAATTCTAATATATGAAATGCTGGTGATTATAACCTTTTAAGATCAAAGGTTAAATTGAAGATGGACGATTCTAACAAAAGCCACATCATTACAGTACGGTTTTACTCCTTTCAAGGGCCAAAATAGAAATGCTACTTTCTCCAATATATTAAGAAACGAAGTATGCTTTCAAGAAGGAGGCGGGGCTCAAATCGTTTCAAGGTGATTACAGTTATGCAGAGAGTTCAATGTTTAAATTTGACTAATGGTCAAAAACTATCTTTCACACCATTAGCCTCTGTAAGTCTTTAATCCGAAAGTTACTTTGCAAAGACGAAAACCGGCGCCTTGGATCTAAAGCTGGTGCATCTGATGTTAAGGCACATCCTTTTTTTAAAAACACCCAATGGGCTTTGCTTAGACACACGAAACCACCAATTGTTCCACAGCAAAGTTATGGTACTGATGCAGTGAATTTTCGAAATATTCAAGAAAGTGTTAGCTTGGATATAGAAGGCGAAAAGATTTTCGAAGTCACTGGAAAAAATCCTTTCGAGGAATTTAACAGCGGTAAGTATTTGATTTGATTTGGGCATTTAGATAATTGACTTATTTAATGAAACTGCGCTTTTTTTTCAGTGACGTTACACCACGATGGCGATTATTATAATGAAATATAGATTCCACTTTTTTAAAAAAAAAATAAATTCAATTCCACATAAAGATTATTCAATCTAGAATTTTAAGTTTTCCTTGCGCTGGACGTTTTATTCTGCAGTTACACGCATTATTATGATGATTTGTAAAGTCAATTTTGGATATGCACCATTGGTTAATAATTGGCATCAGTTACCTTTTATTTCTTGGAAGCTATAGATTTCTTTTTTTTTGATGTCATTTCATAGTCTCATTCAAATATTGTTATCAATTCTCAATATACAGTATATACGCATATATTGTTATTTATAGATTTAATAAATGGGTCAATAATAAATAATTCCTATATTAGGAAGTTGGACATGCGAATGCGAATACACGTTAAATTTCATTGAACTCCAAGGGTTATCTAAATTCACGCAATTCATACACACTCTCCAGATCAACAACCTCGTCACATCAGTTGGACTCAGAAAGAAAGCTGTTAGCAATAATATAAAAGAGTTTATTGTATATAGTGGAGAGAAAAAGTTTAGTCAAAACTTTTATCAATCGATAAGATCAAATGCATAATAAAATAGAAGTCAATGAAAATGTTATAAAGATCTTAAAGATTGAGTTAGATTTTAATGCAAGCTAGAATTTAGTAAATAATATATAGTAGCAATCTTTATTTAAACTATAAATTGATTATCAAATAATTCTTCAGGTTGTACTTAAAGTTAGTCTAAAATAAGTTAATTATAGATTTAGTTTTAGTTTAATCCTTTATCAAGTTAGTTATATATATTTTATTAAATATTTAATAAACTACATATAGTATATATTATTAAAGTTAATTCTCTAACTAACTTGTTTTTATAAATTTAATTCTAAGTATAATTTTTAAAGTGATTTTTTGTTTCATTAATAATTTAGATGAATATTCTTTTAATTACTAATATTATTACTTATAGATTACTACTGCAAATTACTTTATTAAGTTTTAATATTAATTAAATTTTAACTTCTTCAATATATCTTAACTTAAGTTGAAAAATTATTTTATTAGCTTAAATATTCTTTTATCTATTTATTTATTTTTTTTTATTTTTAACAATAAACTACAAAAATCTTTAAGAATTGCTTTTAATTTTATCAAATATTTAATCAAATGTTCTATTATTTTTTTATGTTTTTTTATACTATAGTATATATTTAATTTATTTATTATACTGTATATAAATCCATTTTTTTTTTTTTTTTTTTTTCAGATGAAAGGTACTAATAGCATATGTTTATTAGGTAATTAAATCAATTACATGACTATAATGGTCCATCTAAGTTAACCCGCTCCCATCACTTATAGCCTTACTCAGTTATACCAACTTTACACCCAGTAGGTGGGTCCGTATTCCAGGTTGAGTCTTTAGGAGATAGAAATCCTACGACTAGTTTTAAACCACCTAATCTAATCTAGACCCTAGTATTTACCCCTTATTTAGGACTCACGATAACCTTCTATACCTTACCACCTCTTAATCACATCTTTGGTTCATACAGTTGTGAATGAATCTAAATACATCTGTGCACTGCCTAATCAATGCTTTGAGAACTTCGTCCAATGGTTGACACACACTATCAAACCTAGGAGTTATTCATCAATAAAGACGTGATTCCTAAATCTCCTAGTAGACTTATCCATTGGGTTCTTGAATGGCATTAGCTGTCAAATATAAAAGTTATTCACCAAGTAGGACGCAACTCCTACATAGGGATAATACCAGTGATTCACTTACATCACCCGTTAATGTTCCATCAACGATTCCTGAGAGGCTTAGTGCTTTGTGTTACTGATCTTGGTGACCATTATGCTTCTACCAGATGATCGTCACGCCACTACACCTTTTCTAGAGATCACAATCCCAACACCCATTGGATCAGCATGTGAAATGGCTTTTTATGGGAAACAGTACATTACAGGTTATGGTGCCAGATACCATATTAATTCTATTCAGTTGCCTTCACCAGGAGTTAAACTGGTATCTTGTGATCTGACCTGTGGAGCACTAACCACTGTGTTATGGACCCACAGGTCTCTAATTTTCTTATTATTAACTTGAATAGTATTAATAATTTTTTATTCATTATTTTGATTAGAAAACTTTATTTCTGTAAATTTTTTGAAAAAATATTTTAAATATGTTTACTTTTTATTCTTTTTATATTAAATTTTATAAGTATACTAATTAACTTTTGCTTTACTAATATCTTTAATTTGTTTTATTTTATTGTATATATCTATAGATATATTATTAACTTATTATTTACTTTTATAATTAACTATTTAATGAAACTATTTATTATTATATCTTACTATTTTATTTTTATAATAATTCTACTTAAATTTAAAATTTTTTGGTTTATTATAAAAAGTTTTAAAGTTTTACTAATTAAGATATTTTTTTTTTTTTTTTTTAATCTGCTAACATATTATATAATTTAATTTTTATTGAGAAGTTTATATAACTATTTACAATATTATAGATTTTCACATAATAACTAACTTATTGATATACTAAAGTACTCTAAGTTAAATTTAAAGAACAATATTTCACTTCCTTAAAGAATTGATATAAATCTCTATCTACTAAGTTTATTATCAATAGTTTGTTACTATAGATTATCCTAAAACTATAAATTATTAAGTTAATAAAGGAAAGAAAAAAAAAAAAACAATATAATTTAAGCTTCTTTAAAAAAGTTTATTAATTAAATAATATTTTTTTAAAAGAGCTTTGCCTAATTAAGATATTTTTCTTATTTTTATTTGAATTTCAAAAGAAATCTTCTTTGTCACTATTTATAATATTAAACAAGTCAATCCAATTAGATCTATTATTTAAATGAATACTGAATTGAAATAGTTTAAGAAAAATTTAAAAATCTTAATTTCTAACTAAAGTTATTTTCTTATTTCTGAAAAAATTACTTAAAAAATAGGATTTTATAATTAACTTTACTTATTTCTTGTCTTTTAGTATTTTGAATATCTTTTTTAAAAACAATTTTTGAACCTTTTTTTAATTATTATCAATATTATTGGAATATATAAATATGACCAATAAAAGATTATTTATATTCTATAAATTAATATGTTTTATATTAATAAATTATCTTTAATAAAGATTTGTGCTATTCAAAATTTAAGATCCAATTGAATAATCAAAATTTTTTTAAAAAAAGTAAAAATAAAAGCTTTAAGAAGATCAAAATAGTAAAAAAGAAAAAATCAATCTTTTTATTATTAGAAAACCTTTATAATTTTTTGTTTAAAAGATTGAAAAGTTTTTTAAATACTTTATAATCAATTCTTCTTTTTTTGAAAACTTTTTAATTATTAGTATCAAAGATGTTACTTGACTTTTTTTGAATACCAGAAGTCAAATTTTTGAGTAAAGTAGTTTATAAATAAAATAAAAAGAGTATAAATGATTTTTGAAATTATACTTCAAATTGTTTCAAAACTCTTTCCATTAATCCTCTAACCACACACCAAATAGATGTTCACAAGAAGTTTTCATATTTCTTGTTAATAAAGTCTTATCACTTTCCTTAAATCAACTTGAAAAAAACTCCAAGTAACATTTTTACCTTACTCTTCCTCTTTGTAACACTTTTCTATAAACAAAACCTTTATTTTTAGTGACCATAAAGTCAAGAAACACTCTTTCTACCAATGAAAAGAAAGTTCTAAAAGGAAGAAGAACTAATATGCCATCATCTCACACTATAGAAAAACAACACAGGGTGTTTATGATAATAAGAGACAACTTTTTCACTCTCTATGTCACTTTGTCCACTCTAATAGAGCTTATTCTTGGATTTGTTCTAAGAAATTTTGCTTACCTCAGTTTAACCCTGAATTTTTGATAGTACAAAATTTCTCATGCTATAATTGAACAGATAGAACTCACATTAGTAAAAAAAGTAAATAAGCTTCTATTAGTCATTTCATGTACCTGAATGCATTTTCTCAGCTTTATAAGAATCTGGGATCCATTATAAATTACTTCTGGATTTGTGTGGATAGATATAAGACATAGTATCCAACACATCTTAGAAAACAAGAAAGAATCCATCTGACTATAGTAAAGATTACAAGATACTTCAATCATTTTTAGAATTGAAACCATCTATCTTTGATAGCCAAATAGGTTCCTTTTGCTATCACAAATAGGTAAAAATCTGATTTTTTTCTTATAAAAAACAAACAAGGTGGACAGGAATATTGTGATAAACTTTTTCCGCTAATCCTCTGACTACACACAAAAAAGATATTCACAAGAAATTTTATACTTCTTTGTTAATAAAGTCTTTACACTTTTATTAAATCAACTTGAAGCTTGTATTTATATATCTTCTTTACTCTCCCTTACTTGTTTATAAACTCCTTTGAATAAAAACTTGAACCTCTAGTGGCCTGAAAAGACTCAAGTATGCATTTTCTCTACTAAGGGTAAGAAGGTTCCAAGAAGTAAAAGAACTAATAAGTGGAGTGTCACCTTATAGAACTAGAAGTGACAAGAAATAGAGGTTTTGTTGACAAGGAAAGGCTTATTATCCACCTTTTCATATACTGTCTTGTATCCTCTTAAAGTGTCTACTGTTTTTCACAGTTTTCTTGGATAATTTTGCCTACCTCAGTTTGATCCTGAATTTCTGGTAACACAATGTAACCTGGCATCTAATTGGTTGATACGAAACACATTAGTAACTGAATATAGACAAGCTTCTATTGATCATCACATATGTTCTGATGATATTATTGATAATAAAAAGAGTTAATTGGTACCACATGTTCATCCCACTCCTTTAATTGAGTTAACCTATAGATCAAGTTCTATGAGGTTAATAAGATATGAGCAGCAAGTCCACAGATGGTAAAAAAGCTACTATTTGTTCAAACTAAGATCTTTCTCTTTTATTATTCTAATTAGGCAAAATTCAAGATCAAGATCTCCCTCTTATCTCAGTTAGGCAA